CAAGGAGCAGATTTCCGAAGGTGCTCAGGTGACGGGCTTCTTCTTTATGCCTTTGTGCTAGCAGTCGCTTTAGAATCATAGTAACTTTGTTTAAAGCAGGAGCTAGTCCAGTCCAGTCCAGACTATTATTGCTGCTTTTAAGCATCCATTTGCTAGCACTACCAAAGACAACCTTAATTTTGTCAGTCGATTTTCCATTTTATCGGTTATTCTCTCTTCTTGAATTATCTAGTATAAAACATCTGAGGTCCTACATAATATTTACAGTACCAATTCTCTGGTAATTTTCCACATTCATGCATATCAAAATGCAGAAAGATCTACTCCCTCCGTTCCAAAATAAGTGACTCAAAAATGACTCAACTTTGTACTAACAAGTTGACTCACTTTTGAGTCACTATTTTGGGACGGAGGGAGTACTACCTATAGTGGGTGACTTTTGACATAAACACTGTTTCGCAGGACGAGCTACATTTACTTGAAGGGGCTCAACCAGTCTCACGTTCTGGTTGCTTGAAAGAGTATGTATACACCATCATCCTCGCTGCATTGCAAACTAGTATTCCAATTTAAAGTTGTACCAACTAATTAAGTTTAGGATTCTATGTTTTCTTTACTCTAGTATGCATGCAGTTGCCTGTTTCTGTCAAGTTGTTGCCATATGTATGGATTAGTCTGTATGTTGTACCTTCATACGGTTTCTATGTCAGTTTGGTCTCTGTAAATTTTTGTTTATCTGTTCCATATTCCAAACTTGAAGTCATGCTCTGAAAGCAGTACTCACCAGCAAACCCCACTTGCATCAGAACATCTATTATACGAGTTCATTTGGGAGTGACATTTCTTGGGTTTCATCCTTAAACGATATATTGCTCTTGAAGTTGAAATAGCTGAAATGGAGAGCTAAATGCTTGAGTGAACTCGAGCACAATTCTCTCGCAAAGCATTCTTTGCTTTGTTCATGGATAGAGCTAGCCCTTAATTTCTTATACATGTCGCCAGTATCCTCTCACAATGCTTTTATTTTGTCCATTGTTACAGCCTTTTTTTTTATCATGCTGCTAATATCCGTGTACAATACTTTTCAGGGTAAACGAGTTTGTTGGTACAAAACAAGACCCGCTAATACCAATGTAAGTCCCTCTATACTCAAAACATCCTATTTCTTTGAAGCATGTGTAGTGTGTTTTTGACGGAACCAATTTTTTGCAGTAACAAAAGGAAGCACCGGTCCTGCCGTCTTTATTGGTGGATCAGGTATCTCTTCTCTCCTGTATTGCTTTCAGGCATTTAGTGGCAAGAGTATACAAGTTCTGGTAATAATTCAGCTGGGTCACAGAATCTGTCCCAAGAGAAAATGACATTGCAGTAGGAGATAACACTATGAAAGATACGTATTCATTTGTAATTCTGAATACTTGTTTTCAGATGGCATGATAGTTATTTGCCCAATGCTTGTAACCTATCGTAGGGACGCAGTATTCATCTGTTAGCTGAACCCGCCCAGGTCTAACTTGGGGCAAATGTTTTTCCTGCAGATCGAAACTGTGCATATGTGCTTCATGGCTGTGCTGCTCCTGCCAATGCCTACCAACCTGCAAAAGACCAAGGTGCTTCGACTGTTCATGCTGCGAGCCAAACTGCTCGTGCTGCAGCCTGAACTGCTGCAGCTGCTTCAGTATCCCTTCGTGCTGCAAACCAAGCTGTGGCTGCTTTGAGTGCTGCAGCTGCAGCAAACCACAGTGCTGCAGCAGCGGCTGTAACCCTTGCGGCGAGTGCAAGCCGGAGTGCGGCTCGTGTTCCGGCGGCGGCTGCTGCGGCGAGCAGTGCTGCTCCTGCCCTCGATGCACAGGCTGCTTCAGCTGCTTCAAGGTCCCCAAATGCTCGTGCGCGCAGTGCTTCAACTGCCAGTCGTCGTGCTGCAAGGGGCAGCCGTCGTGCTTCAGGTGCCAGTCGTCGTGCTGCGACAAGGGAGGCTGCTGCAGCGGCGGGTCGTGCCTGAGCTGCCCGAAGCCGTCGTGCCCGGAGTGCTCCTGCGGGTGCGTGTGGTCGTGCAAAAACTGTACAGACGGATGCCGATGCGCCCGGTGCTGTGCTGGCGGGTGCCTGTGTTAAGTTAGGCCACATGGTGTCAAGCCTTTCTCTCTTTTGGTAGTAGTTGTCTTTGTGCTTGCTGTTTAAGCCTCTGTTTGGGTTCGTTCGGGGCCTTGACGTATGGTGGTGTTTCACATGTAAAGAAATAACTTGACCTCCGGATCACAAGGCGGAGTGAAGTAGCTCTAGTATCAGTAGCCAAGTTATATATATTGGTGATGCACATTGTCAACCATTTTACAGGGATTTTCTTTTTCTTTTTTTTATTCATGAGACACATTTGCATTATGATCGCTAAAAAAACTAATCATGATCACTTTCATCACTGTTAAAAAAATGATTATGATCATTTTCATGGTTTTGAGGAAAAACACGACCAGTTTTATGGCGTCACGCGGCGCCGTGCTCCGTGACGAAATCATAGAAACTTCACCGGATTTTCCACTGTTTCTTTACTCGACTCGAGAAGGCCTTGAAATGCAGGCGGCAGTCGCACCGGCCGCCCGGCCCTGCCTTTCGTTTTCAGGAGGAAACTGGCACTTGCCGCGAGCCAGAGTCACTCGCTCCCCCAGTCTTATTCACTGACCGTTGGGCCCAGGACTAGGCCAGGCCCACGAGTCAGTCAGTTTGTGCGGAAGCGCGGTGTTGTCGCCCGTGTCGAGATCGGCCGGCGCCATTAGCACGAGTCGCTGCGACCGTGCGACGTCGCCGCCGGCGCGAGACGGGAGGCGCTTTGCTTCCCATGGAGTAGTATAAACAGCCGTCGCCAGTCGCATTCCATCCGCAGACGAGGGAACAATCCACACATCTTCCAGTGCTGTGCCTGCCGTCGAACCCGCCGCCGGCGCCCGCGACGATGCCTGACCAGGAGGCGCCCACCCAACTCCCCCACTCCCCCGCCGGGACCCATCCCCCGGCAACGCCGACACAGCCACCTCCACGAGCCGCTGCGGCCAGCGCTGGGAGATCGCGTCTCCTCCACCTCGCATTCCTCTGCGTGGTTCGTGGATTCCTTTGTGGCAGCCGCTGAGTCCTGCCTGCCCGCGTCCGCCGTCGCCGCCACGGTCCTGCTCCTCGCGGCGTGCTTCCACCTCACGCTCCACCTCGTCCACTCCTTCGCCGTGCCCTGCCCCCCGCCCCCCGCCGTCACCGCCGTGGCGAAGGCCGCCGCGACGATCGCCGTCACTGTTGGGGTAGGGGTCGCTTCGTGCCTTCACGGTGCCTGTGGAGCTCCCCAGGGTTACACAACAGCTTATAGCTGAACGAGGCTCGGCTTCGGGTATGTTGTTTCTGTGGTGTAGGTGCTGCTTTCATTATACTGTTACTGCTGTAATTATTGTGAAGGAAATATATCAGAAATTGGCAATAGAAGGCTCTCCATTCAAGTCATCAAGTGCCATAAGACATCGATTTGTTTCCTTGCCGGTGGTGTCTGACCTGTTTATTATCAGTAGGATCGATTCTAACAAGTCACACACTGTATTCAAGAGAAGGGGAAAAACATGTTGGACCGCCAAATATGTTCAAGTATATGCAATCGAAATTTGGGTGACACCTTTGTGATGTCCATTTCAATTTGGCACAATCATCGACCGACGACAGTAAGAAATTACCCTTTATTTTGAAGTCAGCTTACCTTTACAGTTTACATGTTTTACATAAAAGAATTTAGAGCTAGCAGAACAAGAGAAAATTTTTGATTCAGAAAATGAAAATTAAACCAATAGCAATCAAAGAATTGTGTGCGAACCTAATTCCCTGCATATTTTTTTCAGTATATTTTGTTTCAGATATTAACTATTGTATAATTTTGTGGCTGAATTCAGTATCGTTCTGCTGACTTGTATGATTCTTACATATTTTAATGAAAATATTTTCCGTTATTCCTTGGGAAACCTTAATTTCCAATAGCTCAGTGACAGGATAGTTCTTAGTTCATAGGGAGATGGCACAAATTACTCTGAAGATAAATGTTTCGATTTTCATAGCATCTATAAGAAGTATGCATGTGATATCTTATAACCGTTTGTTTTTTCCATACCTAAGTGAAACTTCAAGGTCAACACATAGTAATTATTCTACTCCTTATACAGTGTAGCCTAGACAAGCTCTTAACTCCAAGAACAGTAATGCTGTTTCAGAATGATGATGCATAGATCACTTTAGCATTTAAGGTACCAACTTTATAATGTTCCTCACTAGAAGTCAAGCTATAAAATAAGTTGCTAAAATCTTTCCAATTGCACTAAGCTGTGCCATTTGCTATATCAATAAATATATCACCAGTACAAATAGCCATCGTAACTAAAAGTGCTTCTGTGTAGATGATGTCTAATAGCACAATAGGTATAGGTCCTTCCGGTATGAAAGTGCCTCATGCATTTAAGTTACTGGCTACAACCGAAGTTCTCTACACGTACAGACAGTTTGTATCCTGTATGAACTGGGATGCTCTACGTGTGATCTCACTCCTTCAACATGTCTGTTTAAATTTAATAAATATGTACAATTGCTTTGTGCTTTCACTCTTTATCACATTGACAGTGTTATCAGAAGTTCGACTTTTGTATGTACAACAATGAAGCACCCTGGTCATAAGCCCCGACTTAGATACATATCGCATATTTTTTTGTAAAGCTGCTGGAGTTAATATTTAAAGATTGAACCTTCCATTCTGTAGCAACAATTTTCTTGATTGAGCTATATTATCACAGAAGAACATCGTATCTGTTCTTTCTGAACCACGAAGAACTCTAAGTTTGATGCATCAGGACATCAGGGCGGCAAATTTAGTGCATTCCTACTTATGGTCATGTTTTAATGAATGAGCCACTTGTATACTTGGAATGCATTTCTGATCCTCTGTTTCATGATCCAATCCTGGCACCTGAGACTAACTAGCCTCATCAATTGCACTTTTAAGGAAAATTGCTCATGGCATTCTGTTCACACCTTGCATTCGCATCCTACAGAATCATCCTTGTGCAATCAATCCTGCAGTTTGATTCCTATTGATTTGCATATCTGTCAGATTTTTACTTGATTGGGTATCTGATGGCATCATTGTCTGGTGATAATGGTGTACACTTAGGTTTTCACTTCATTCTGTTATGTGTCATTTTCTATATGTTATTCTGAAGACGAAAACAATGCCAAATCACATGGAGCTTGGCATGACAAGTACATCAGAGATTGTGCACGACTCTTGTATTTTTTTTCATCCCCTGTTTTCTCTGGACGTTCCTGATTAGAGCAGAAACATGATATTCTACAAATGATTCTGTTGTATGAGTGCTATATAGGTGATGTGATATTGAACATTTGGAGTACTCCTTGCCTTGGTCTTGGTTTCCAGATGCTCCGATGATGGGCTCCCAAAATTCTCTTCAAAATTTATTTGCAGTTCTTTTTTCAACTCAAGGCTTCTCAATTATAGTTTTTGCATATATGATTCATTAAGATTGATGTCCTATCAGATACTGATGATTTATGTATATCTTGTAAACAGATGCGTAACAAACCTTCAGTTCTGGTGGTTGCATTCCTATTGGGTTATCTCTTGTCTCAGCTGGACGGGTGAGACTTAATTTAAAGAAACATGCATTTCAGTTAATCTATTGTCATGTAGCTAGCTTGCCAAACGTTCTTCTGTACAGTTTCACAGTTGAAGCTTATTATTGCAAAGCTGATGTTGACTTGACCTTAGTCCTTTTGTGTCAACCTTCAATATGTCAGGTCACATGTACTTGCCCATCCCCCAGCATTTATATTTACTGATAAACATGTGCTCGGTCCAGCTTGCCAGTATTAAGTATTAACTAACACCATCAACATTAACTTGTCACAGTGTAGTTTCATGTTGCATTGTTTTTTCTATTTTCTTAAAGAATCACAAAAGCCTTGCATGCAATTTTTTCAAGTACACATTTCACTTTCTTAAAGAATCACAAAAGCCCTGCATATCAATTTTTTCAAATACTCATTTCATTTGCAAACAATGGACGATGTTGAACCAAAATTTATGCAAATGAAAGAAGCATTGGGCATCCCTTTGAACTAGACCATTGATTTGTAAACAACATCTTGATCACTCCTCTGGCATTTTGGTTTTCGGCACGGTTTCCCTCATAAACAGGGTCAATTTGTTTAGGTTTTTGATCCGGTTTTCCTTATAAACTGGATCAGTCCTCAGGCATTTTGGCCACTTTGAGTAATATATTCAGGTGGGGGAACTCCCCCCACCCCCCTCCCGGTGATTCTAAAAAAACATCTTGAACAACAATCCTTGAGAAAATCAAAACCGGACTTTTGTCACACTGTTTTGCATCCCTATATTTATCCAACACCCATTGTCACTATCAAGAAGAAAGGTGGGCCTAAGTCCCCTGAGACCTTTCCAAAAACTATAAAGAAGAAAAGAAACACAATCCACAAATCCGAAACAAACAAACCGATGTGACATTGTATCACATCTCTATGATATGTACATACCATTCTGTCCTACGCACTTCCCTACCTTAGTCCTATGCCCCCCTCTCCCGATTGTAGCTCGACGACCTTTGTTACCGCCGCTGTGCACCGGTGAATCCGGTAATGAGCCCATCGCCGCGGCGGAGCACAATGCCGGCATGGATTGCTGAGTCGGGGTACTTCTGCCGGTGCCTGTCTTGATGGTTCTGGCGTGGGTGCTGGTGCTTCTCCTCGACCTCCACCTTCATGTCCACTACCTTGTCCTCCTCCACAATGACTGTGAACACAAATGGGCCCACAGGGAAGAAGTCTTCCATGCCGAGGACGGGCTCGAGGGCCTTGACCACCTCCCTCATGGTGGGCCTAGACTTTGGGTTCTGGCTGAGACACTTGTATGCCACCAGTGCTGCCACCTCGGCGCCTTTGCATGAGTATTGGCACTCGAGAGCTGGGTCCATGACTTTATACAACCTGTCAGAGCGCTTGAGGTATGGTCTAGCCCACTCGACCAGGTTCTGTTCCCTGAGTCGCCGTGCACGGTCCACTGATCG